TCCGACGTCATTATGTCTAAATGAATATTCAATGTTTGTGATTGGGGAACCTCATGTGTTCAAAGTCAGCTATTTGTACGATATCTTGTCAAATATTCCACAGAATTCACAATGCAACAATGTAATCATGACAGATGAATCACTTTCTTGAATCGGCAAAGGAATAATTTAATTTGAAAAGTGACTTCATTACTTTTTTTCGATTCGTTATTAACCGTTATGTCTTCAATATTAAATTTAATGTCCATAACAGTCTTCCTCTTATTGTGTAATGTCTCATTCAACTGTTAATAAAATGACTGGATGTTCACCAACAATAATACCACTTTGTCTGTCCATCAATCATATAATGGCATAGCCGTATCTGATTACTCGTGATACTGAAAAGCTTTCCAGCAATCTACACAGAGTACCAATGAACGATAGTGTCAGTCTAGAGTGGTGTATCTGTGCATATCAAGAATATCGGTGAATTCTGCTGTGTGTTGAGAAAGTTGAGGATATTAACTGTAAAGGAGGAGTATTAGTGTCGTTGTGATACAAACTTGCTATCAGTGCCTCTCCAACCACCTCTAAATCCAGTTTGTAATTCTGGAACTTTGGCAAATACATCGCACAAACCAATGTTCTAATTAAATATCTAATCAAAACATCATTTAGGGAAAGTGTACCTATTTACCGTTCCCATTCTCATGAAATGTGAAAAGTAATCATTTTCCAATAAGGTTCTAATATTCAGAACCGAGCAAAAAAGTTAATATGGTAAAAGATTAGTTTTAGAAAAACTTGATGTTGTCTGGTGTGACTGCACCAAACCTTGGCGTCTTGCCATCGCTCAGGTTCTCAATAACCTCAACCTTTCTAATGTTACAGTGTACACCAAATGTGACACCGTCGTCCTTGCAAAAATGGCAAATGTTCTCATTAAGATCGTGTTAATAGTGTTCCGGCTTTCCAAGGTGATCCTGGTCAATCTCGTTATCAGTGATATTTAAAACGACACAATATACACCCCCATTCGGTAGTTGATATTGGTTTGTACAAATGCTTTGACATTCTGCGAGGTGCTTAATGCCAATCCAGCATTACAGCATTAAATGGGAACCAGTTTCAAGTTTTTCCTTTTCGCTATACATTTTCCTCATTTTCCATTCTTAAGCGTCGGATATTTTGTCAACAAGTTGTATCCATATCAAAGATACTTGAAGTATTCACAGTCCTATTCATTCCACTTTCAGTAAACTGCATGTACCCTCTATGCCAGCCTTTTACGCACATTTAGTTTAGCTTCTATCGAGAACGTCGTCTCTAAAATCTTTAGCTTTGTCGGTTGGCAGTTGTCAAAATCCATTGAAAATTTCTCCTTTCATCTATATTTATTATACATCGTACCTCATCACTTACGATATTTTGCGTTCCGGAAGAGTGATTTACAGGACAGATATATATACGCGGCGTGTACCAGCATGCAAATCAACTTCTAAATTAAACGATGATGAAGATCTGAAGTAATAGCCAATGTACCAATACCATTTATGTATCACATTATCATGATCAGTCCGGCATACTGTTCCAAGCTGGTTTGAACCAGTTCTCCCACTTCCTATCTCCTCCACACGCTGTCAAAGTTCAGGGAGTCTATGAAACAACGCCATCCTCTTTCATGTCATGCAAATGAGATGTCTACTCCATGTAATGCCACCTTTGTCAGCCAGTGTCTTGTTAATTGGAAATGTGAGTATGTTTCAGCTAATATAGATCTATATATCCAGATGAATACGATCCAGAGTTTCGTGGATGCCACGTGGTGAAATTAAATAATCATATAGGAATCCAACATGAAATTGACTACAGAAAATACCATTATCTACTCTACGAAAATATTGGTGTTAATGTAAATTTGATGTTAATACCTAATGTTACAGACATCGTGGGCAAGACGTTTATGTCTGCTAGACACAACACATTCACACACGTGACGCAAACTATAGCGCCACACACTTGCGAAGGGTGACATTTTCTCACTTTCAAGAAAGGTCCATTAACCTTCGTGGACAATTATGTCTGCTTGTCTGTTTTATGTTTCTAATCACAGAGTTGTGATTTACTTGATTTCATGTATTGTTTGTGTTTAATCTAGCAATGTGGTGTCTACGACGTACAGAGCTTCTGCCTTCCATTGGCATGCCGGCATCAGTCCTTGAATCGAACTTACGTTCAATGTGTGCGAGAATCAGTCTATGAAAGAAGTGAAAACAAACCCAAATGTCTGAAATCGACCCCGTATAGGGCATCCGAGGTGAATGGCATGAATACAAGAACCATTGATCCGAAATCCGACTCTATGGATCGAGTTCAAGTGGCGAATCAATTGCGGGTCAGACTATTAGAAATCGTCTGGATCTCATCTCCATGCTTGACGACCATGGCTGTACACCTCCTTACAGATGGACATGTTGTCGACAGACTTCAGTTGTGTCCATACTGTCGTAGTCGTGGCTGGTCATGTGTCACGTTGTGACATTAGTACTGATTCAATTAGCATTCCCTTGATAGTATTGGTCGTGTCTTGCAACGTCGAAATGAACGTTTAACCAATGATTTTCTGAGATATTAAGGAAGATTTGGCGGTAGATATGTTATGGTGATACGGGGTGTTGCTATAGCTGAGTGAATCCGTCTCCATCTGATACAAGGAAGGGTAACTGAACATAAGTGTCTGTACCCTTTCCTTTGAGTCCAACTTATGCCTATCAGGACGACAGTGCTTATGCTCACCGTGCACGAATCCTGAATGTTCACGTCCATGGGCACATCATCCTTCAAATGCCAAGGACTGAAACGATCACAGACCTTCTTCTTGTGAAGAGTCCACTATCAATGACTATTGGTAACGCTCATACGAGGCATGACCCGTCGAGTCCAAGCATAATTTACAATCATAGTCCCATGACTGGTTCTAACACGGTCATAAAAGTATTCATTGAATTTCAGCTGTATCATATAGCTATCACAAGAAACTAATATCGCTGGCAATTTGGAGTTGACCCCTTATCATCCTTCAGATGATAGTCAATAAACTCGACATTTACAGTGTTAGATATTCTACAGTTCAGAGCAAATCTAGCGGCATTGCCCTGGCAAATGTAACGAATGTTGTGAACATTCCAAAGTGGTGCAGGTGTTCTCAACTATACCCGGAGCCTTGGTGTTTTGCAAGATCCATAATGTGATTCCAGCAAGTTTTCAATTACTGTTCATTATAATTCCTTACACTACTAGAAATAGCATTGCTGACAATTCTGGAAGTGATTTCTGAGTTTCACCTTCTTGTGTTATTGAATACAGTTATACCACCACATTCAGTGCACAGAATTTGAAAACTTTAACATCTGAGGCCTCTCCTCATACACTAACATTTCCTTTTTTATATACAGTCTCCCCAAAAAATGTTTCAAAATGATTATTAACCAACAATGTTCCGTTCCTACATACACACGCATCGTCTCCTGTAGATAGGCGTTGTTTGTACAACTACATGGATGTTGATAATAAATTCCCAACCGATCACATGATGGTTATTTTGATTAACGGTTCCTAATCCTGCCTTACATTGGTCTTTGATGTTACCAACATCATGCCTGTGAAATATCTCTAAAAATATTGATCCATGTTTGACCGTCAATAGAAAGAGGATGAAGAAAGAACAGCAATAGATGAACCACTTAAATACATAGACGAAGTTCATCAAACTTTACAAAGGCGATGCAAAAGGTTTTTAATATTCTTCAAGAGAAATGAGCGATGGGTGTACGTTCAATCTTATTCCATTGTCTTCTGATTGTTTTCTAATTACAAAAAAAACCACATGAAATGCTCTGCCTTTTCTAGACATGGTCAACGCGTTGGCAGTGGCGACACACACGTCTGTGGGAGTGCGTGTGTATGCGTCTCCGTGTGCATTTCAATGAGTGAGTTAGAATTTTACATCGCATCGGCAATATTACAGCCATATAATCAATAAATAATCAAGGTAATCAATTTATAATATCTGTCGCCAAAGGACAGTAAAACCAACTAGACTATCACAGATTTGTATTTAAAACTAGTAATTAAATCTTAAATACTTGAACTATAGAGGACGATACAATATTTTTAAAAAAAACAGGCTATAGATCGCCAACAACTGAAGGTAGATCACCATACTAGGGACCATGGGGACTTACAGTGCCTTTGCTACCTGCATGGACCCTAGTTGGAGTTACACCGTCCCTTCAGCCGCTGGCGATTGTAGGAATATTTAGCCAACTTTAAAAGAACAAAAATACTACGTTTTACAAATCTGGTAAATTTAAATATAGCTTGGAAAGTTTTGGAACTTACGTACTCTCTCAGGAGGACAATAATTTTACAATACTTCAAACCCCTTTGAGGGTACAACCACGAAAATCTCAGTTATTAATCTAAACTACCAATAATAAAATATTTATCCATTTACAAACTATTCATCATAATTTATCTAATAATTCTATTTCTTTTAAAAATTCAATAATTAAATGAAAATTAACAGTAGTAAAAAGATCCGTAACAGTCTTTACATTGAAATACTTATCCCATGTGATGGAAAAATCAATACAGTCAAGCAGGACATGCTTGATCGTGATTCCTTCATCACAAGGGATGCAAAACGGATGATCCTCACCTTTTAACAGGTATTCATGAGTACATCTAGTATGGCCAATACGACATCGTCGCATGATGACCTCCTCAAATCTGGACTGACAACCCAAGTAGGTGTAACCAATATAGGGTTTTATTGCATGTAATTGATTGATACCTGCTTGGGGTGTCCCACTTCTTCTGGATCAGATCACGGATGTAAGTTCTAATGCTAGCTTTGTAATCAGAGTATAAGAAGTGGCGTCACAGCTTTGTTGAGAGCTGCCTTAGCAGCAAAATCAGTCATTGTGTTCCCAGAAATACCAACATGGTTGGGTAACCAACAAAAGACGATGTCGTATTGGCCAATAGCAAGATCAATATATAATTCAATCATATCGATTAAAAGCGGATGCTTGCAAGAGAGATTTTGTATAGCCTGAAGCTAAGAGAGCGAGTCAGAAAATATGATATATCGTTTATATTTAGGATGTGTTTTAATATAGTTAAGCTCTGTTAATATGGCATTGCTTCTGCTGTGAAAATAGAACTATCACCTGGTAATCTAGACGATATTGTTCTGGACCCATTGACAGTGGCACAAGCAACCGTGCCACCATCTTTGGAGCCATCTGTAAATAAGGATTTATATGTATTATATTTACTTTTTAATTGATTATATTCTTGTTTATATCGTAAGTCATTAGTTGCAGATTTTTTAATTGTAGTGAATGTTAGGTCACCTGGCCTCACCAATTGCCAAAGAGGAGGAGAAAGAAGACGGGAAAGAGAAACATTTTCTAGCTGAATGCCGGCAGCAGAAATTAAAGGCTTAATTCTGAGCCCAAGAGGTGGAACAAGAGAAGATTTCCTGGTGTATAAATCCTCATAGAGGGGGATTGAAGACACAGTTATATGCAGGGTAAGATTCATTAGAGTATAGTTTCGTTATATATTGTAAAGATAATTTTATACGGCGTTGTGTAAGAGATTGCTCATCTTCCTCAACGTAGAGACTGTCAATAGGAAAAGTTCTTTAAGATCCAAGACAAAGTCTTAGATCTTGGTGGTGGTGCATTTCAAACTTGAAAAGCGTGCTACAACTGTACAAGTTGAAGGCCCTCAACAAGTGATTACGTTTACGGTCAAAGGGGCAGACCCTGTTCATATCTGAAACAAAATTGAAATTCTTTAGTTAATTAATATCAATGTTTAAAAACATACAACCATTTTTCCTGTAATGAAAGTATAACCTTAAATATAAGTGCTGAACTATTTGACACTGTGAAGCCTTTGTTGGCGAGCTAAACAGGCCACAGTTTTCCCGTTTGAATATAACGTAGTTGTGCCAATTGACTTAGACTGGTCTCCTGTCTAGTCTAAGTGAGTGAGGGAGTGAGTTAAGATTTTAAGTCACATCGGAAGTATTTCAGCCATATCGTGACTATATCAATTATATATAAATAATAATTATAGATAAAGTATAAAAACCTGCCAACGAAGGACAGTAAAACAACTAGAATATCACATATACAAATTTAAAACTAGTAATTAAATCTAAAACATTTTAACTATACATGACAATACAATATAGAAACAAACTATAGATTGCCAACAACCGAAGATAGATCACCATACTAGGGACCATGCTGTCTAGTCTGAAAGCAAAATATATTAATACTGAAAATAATCACGTGAAAAAAGTATGTAAAAAAATAAATATATGTATTAGAACTGAAAATGTGAGCAGCAGGGTAGATTGCTCGTACGCGTGTATTTTTATTCATAAACCTCACCTCAATGAAAATACCACATATGTATAACAATGTTGACACACGTATGACATCGCTATCCAGTAGAGACATTTGGAAGGAAACGTATTTGCAAGCAGCATATATCTATAGAAATGACATGTAAGTAGTTGTCTGGTTGCTTGATGTTATTTTCGTTTGTTTTCATTGTGACCAAGGGAGATCATGGCGTCACGCTTACGGAAACTATATAATATGTTGTGTTGAATCTAGAAAATCATTGGAATGCACCTATTCGTATTTCCTATTTCTTGCTCTGATGATATTCCCATGCGTGTTTAAAACTTATGAGCAAGTATGTGCAACAAATAGGCGAAACAGATCTCTCACAGTATGAGAAAATGATACACAGTCCAAAATCTGAGCTTGGCTTTGTTTACATTTCAAACAAGGTCTTCTTTCCCTGCGCGTCATTCGTTTATTCGTCTGATATATTTCCTTAGATTTCACAGACACATTTGGTATTGGGGACAAATGTACCATTTAATTTGGAACTGTGAAATTCAGGGATTCATGTAGGGAAGCTGATATTGGATTACTGTTGTGATGTAATGGGTGAAACCGAAATATCATGAGGAGTTCACCACTTACTGAATATATTGAGTTACACTTTGAGTTCCCTACTTTAGTTAAAAAAAACAAGTTCACCACTTACTGAATTTACTTATGGTCTTAATTTGAATTTTGTTTTTTTATATTTTAGGTTGAAGACCAGCTTTCGTCGACTACATGACAACTGACTAGACAGAGGGACGATTGGCAACAGCGCAGTGGAATCATCACGTTACCTACGAACCAAGGACCTACAGTCATCTAGAAAGTTGGCATGGTCGCCTGAAGCGGTCGATTGCAAAGGCTCACCCATCCCTTATTGTGTTCTTGAAGCGGGAGCATGAAAACAATGAAACCCTCCTTCACCAGTACCTCAGTGGAAGGAAGAGGCCACCAAAGAAAAAGATTGTACGTTGTTCGCTGAAATGTCTGAAAATCGGTCCTGAACAAGGATATCTATAATGTTTGTGTAACTACTTCAACATTAATATTATAATTAAACCATGAAAGCTTTATAAATAATAGTTTCTGCTATTTTAAGGATAACTGAAAGGTGCCATGTCAATACACAATGCAGTGCCACATATGTGAAGACGTTTGACACTGTTCATACAACAGTCTAAACAAATACATACTTCGGTCCACAACCATTACTAAAATATGGGTTCAATATAGGCATGGCAGACGTCATTGTTCAAAGTATATGGTAGTTTTGTCGTGACCATTTTTGGTTGATAGGCTTCGTTAACAGTTATACAATACTGTAAATGTGTACTTTTAGACACATTGTCCACAGACATGACATGAAAAGTAGACATTCGGAATGGCTGTTGGCACTAAGTATATTCTTTCACACATTGCCCGAAGAAAGTCGTGAGACACGCCAGACAAATGACACCAATAGCTGGAATTACAAGATACCCTCTGTTATATTAGCGTTATATAACTTGTCTGGAGAGTTCCAACACGTGCCACTTTTCAACCCCCATATAACGGTTGATAAGAAACAGTAAGGTGGTGGGCGTACATATTTCAATATTCTGAATTAGAATAAGTGCTAGTAGTTCTTGAAATTAGGGTCTACATTGTCTGTAATCACTATTCCATCCGGGTCCTGTTGATTCTATTTTATTACTGAACAGATCCGACTTCTTTCAGTGAGTTGATTCAAGATTCAAGATTCAAGATGTTTATTTGTAGAAAGGCCATATGACCCAAAGTACAAATGTACAATATAACATAAGATTCTACAGAGTTACTTTCTTTAGTTGTATACATTCAAACACATGTTTAAGAAATTTAGCAAGATTTAACAGAAAGGTGTTATTATTTGATTGGCACAGGTTTGAAACATTATTATGGTTACCATTACTACAATTTGGGATGAATCGCTTTCTCTCTGTTACAAAATATACACAATCATACAGTACTTGTCTTTCATTCAGCATTACATTACAGTGTTTACAAATGTAGGAGTTATTAGTAAAGACATTTTTCTTACTCAGATATCCACTTCTAAATAAAGTTAATACACGTCTATGCTCATGGGAACTAATGTTTAACAAATATTTTTCACAATTAAGCAAAGCATATGAGAATTATAAAATGCGAGAGAATCACTCTGAAGAGAATAGTGCCAGTTCTGATAAGCACATTCTTTAACACGTTGACTAAAGATATAAATGAAATGATCTGGATCCCCAACCTCTTGGCTTATCCAACGAAAAAGTAAATATTTTACTTGATTGGCCCAACAATGAGTTGAACAGCTTTATGATTGATACCTAGTTTTCTATCAGTTTGAAATATGACTTCCTGTATAGCCCTGTTTTCATGGTGACAATGTCTAGTGAAATAATAGCATAAACTCATCCCCAGCAACAATGGCATGGCGGTATCATTTGGTGACATCAAGCCGCACAATGAGTGAGTGAGTGAGTTATAATTTAAAGTCACATCGGCAGTATTTCAGTCATATCGTGACTGAGAAAATTGTAAATTTATAATGAATAAAAAGAAATTAGATAATATACTTACCTGTCTGCAAAGGTCAGTAAAATAACTAGAATATCACATTTATAAATGTAAAACTAGTATGGAAGGAAAGACAATTCAGTATAAACGTGCTATAGATCGCCAGCAACTGAAGGTAGATCACCATACTAGGGACCATGTTGACTTACAGTACCTTTCAAGCCGCACATAGGCAATACAGCAAGTTGACGACACCAATAGTACACGCAATACTAGTATACAATAAGATGTGCCAACATTCAACTATTAACGGATATATTATATTTCTCGGCATGAGTAACTGTTAATCCGAAGAAGGCTGGCCAGTTCTAAATGTATTCTGTATGTGTTATGTTTCTGGGTGTTTTAGCCTTAGCCAAGCTCTGCAGCTTGTTTAACTTCTTGTTAAACGCTGCACTCAGCAATACTCCAGCTATATGGCGACGGTCTGTAAATATTTGAGTCTGGACCAGACAATCCAGTGATCAACATCGTAAGCATAGATCTACGAACTGGGATCAATGACATGTGTCAACCGACTCAGCGAGCCTAACCCCCCGCTGCCATAAGTCGCCTCTTACGATTACGCCTCCGGATTTTTCTCTGCACAAAATGACATACCGACCATTGCTTCTGACAAAGTTCTCCATCATGTAACAAACAATTGAAAAACACCTGTTTACTTGATATGTTACAAGTGGAAGTGCGGACTTGTGGGACATAATTTGTGTAAATTTGTGTAAAGTTTGTACATAACGAAAGAGGTTATATTTCACCGTTTGGCAGCTATAACATAGTGTGACATAAAAAGAAAGCTCAATTACATATTCACATTCAGCCATACGTGTTCCCGAGAACATCAGTATTTATAAAACAATGATATGATATATCACGAAATCGTACGGCATACCTCCCGAGCTCCTCTTGATCAACGGCTGATGTCCTCAGTGTGACTTGGCTGCTCTTTCATTTTTAAATAAGGCATAAACTTTTGAAAATTCTCCTTACCGATTAATATATGCACATCTGTGTGACGTCAGTGGAAGAGATAAACTTACGGTGTCTTCCATTGGTGGAACTATCTTCTTCATGAATGCGGTGTTTAAATAAAAGGTCGACGTGGGAAGGTGATACACCCAGAGTCTGTTTTATCTAA